GAAATATCTACCCGGAAAACACAATCACTCACTATATCCAAAGAGCCCCGAAGATGCAAACTCGCCGTTTACAATCAAAGTGTAGAACAGGTGATGACCTTTAAATAGCCTGGAGCAAACATCACGAGTAACAGGAATCTAATGGAGGAAGTAAGGAATCAAACATCAAAAGCCGCTCTAATATCGTGGTACTTACGAGACATCATCTGGAGAAACAAGCACATGAGTATAGGGAGTAAAGTCAGAATCTACAAAACGTGCGTGAGACCAGTGATGACATACGCCGCAGAAACAAGAGCGGAAAACACAACAACCAAACGCTTGCTAAGAACAACAGAAATGCGAGTCCTAAGATCCATAACAGGACACACACTACACGATATGAAAAGGAGTGAGGAAATTAGAGATACCTGTAAGGTTTCGGATGTTGTAAGATGGACCAGAGCAAGGAGAAGAGCGTGGAGAGACGATGTAGAGAGAATGGCCGACGTCCGAATGGCAAAAATCGCCAAAGACCAAAAACCTAACAGCTCAAGACTCCCAGGAAGACCACCGAAGCGATGGTACGAAAGCTGGACATCAGCATCCCAGGACTAGGAAGTTGAAGAAAAACACAGTCCTAACACAAAGTGGAAGGTGGTGAGCAAAGATCAGACACGCAATGAGCGCATTACAATAAACGACCAGACGATCGAACGTGTGGAGTCATACAAGTACCACCGAGATCCGATCAAGGATTGAAAGAACTCGAGCATCGTTCAACAACATGAAGGGTGTATTCACAAGCAAGGATCTATCCCTGCCTCTAAAAATAAGGTTGGCAAAGTGTTCCCAATTCTGCTGAAAAAATTAAACGCCTTTGAAATGTGGATATACCTCCGTATCCTCAGAATCTCGTGGACTGACCACATAACTAATAAAGAGGTGCTGCAGCGAATAGGGAAAGAGAGAGAGAAATTACGCTCACAGTTAAAAAGAGGAAACTGGAATACCTCGGACACATAATCAGAGAGATCAAAAATATCGTCTACTCCAGTTAATACCTCAAGGAAGGATCAATAGTAAAAGAGGACCAGGAAGGAGAAGACACTCATGGGTGCAAAAGCTACGCCAGTGGTTTGGACTTACAATTATACAGCTATTTAGAAATGCCGTCAATAAAATTAAAATTGCCATGTTGATAGCCAACGTCCGCGACGGATAAGGCACGCT